ACTTTTAACTATCGTGAATTTTATATTGTAACACCGTTGTCAGGTTTGATTTTCATAAGAACAGCTATTTAAAAAGTCGTATGTTTTCATGTAATTACTTTAATTGTATCTTCGTTGCATTATTAAACAAGTACATATGTTTTATATATATAATTCAAAAAATTTAATATTTTCATTTAGATCTTTATTTAAAATTAATTCTACATATGCCGTGTTTTAATGAATTCAAAATTTTAATATAATTATTGTGCCTATAACACTGTCTCTGTCTACACGTCACCATTAATCGGGCTTAATGATATCCGTAGTTACAAGTTACAACTAGTAATTATTACTGACAAAGTGTATAAATAAATTCTATTTTGTAACACCAATTGACACAGACAGTTGTAATATTGAATTTAACGGGTTTACGATATTTTACCGATTTTACGTCAGTAGTCAAGAAATACAGATGTTAGATTAAACTTAGATTTTTAAATTCAAAATTATTTTATTCAGAGACAAATCAGAATCGTGTTTTAATTTTTGTATTGTTTTTTTGAATTTATATGACGTTACTAAATAAATTTTAATTGATCAATTTCTGATTTCCGATAGATCAGTTCATCCAGCTCCGATTTTTTTAATAGATCGAATTTAATCAATATGATTCAAGAATTATTAAGAGATTCAATTAATGGAGATCGCATATTCCTAATGTATGTACACAAACGTGTGCACACAGCATGTACGTTCATACCTTACAAACACGTATACATATACGCGACATACAAGTGCTTGTGTAAGAGAACATGATATAAGAACGAATCACGTAAAAGAAACGTTTAAATTTATTCAGCAACTAGGAATAGAAGTATATTGTCCACTGAAATTTTTTATCAAAGATGCAAGAACTACACATTACAAATTCAAGTAAATTTACTAAAAAGATTAGTAAATATAAGTCTTGCGAGTCGCAAGACTTATATTTACTTACTTAAATCTAAGCTTAAGTCGAAACGTACCAAAATTTCGTAATTATTAATAAAATAATTAATATGTGTTACCCAGATTTGCTCGTTTTAAAAATTGACTTTTATTATAGTGTTTTTGTTTTGCACACATATCAGCGGTAACTACATTTATCTTTTATAAATTTATTAAAATTTATGATTATATTTGAAAGACAAAATAGTTTAGAAATTGATAAAAAATATTATACGACATGTAAAGATTGACTTTCGTACAAATGAATAGATTTCGTTCAATGGAGATTTTAATGTATATATAATACTTACGCGGCATTAAATATTTCTGCGCTATGATCGGAAACTGTTTGTCCAACAAAATTAAATGCAAACAACGAAATAACATGACTTATTATCATAAAGATACACATTACTATTTCGGAAAATTCATTCGAAGCAACAGTTAATGAATTAAACAACTGTAAAAATATATTATATTACTATTCCTACTTCAATTTACATGTAATACACGAATTCGTAAATATAAACATTGAATTAAATGTAAGACAGAAAAAATGTAATAAGTACATACATAAATGCATTACTTACTCGAAAAAGATTGCAACTTAAAGATATTACGCAGATTATCGATAAAGTGAAATACCATTTGTTCATAATATTCATAAAAAATGTAGAAAACCTTCAATAACGAAGAAAAATTTAATTCATATCTTTGAGTTAATTAGATTTAAAAATGTAATTTTTTAAATTAAAATTAATGTGCATCATGTACAGTAAATGATAATGTTAAAAGAATAAATGAAGTAAAGACTAACTGAATAGATTTTCTATGAATATTAACAGCACGATTAATTTTCTGAAACATCACATGTGTTTTCTTATAAGCAGGAATTTGAAGCGTATGTTGAGTCACTGTTTTTTCGATTAAATTACTACAAACAATTTTTATATAATCAACAAACAACTCAACATAGATTATCTTCTTCAGCAAAATTAAAAGATAAGTACGTACCTAGCGATTTTAAAATTGGCGCAACAATGCCTGAAGAGCGCAAACGATAATGTTGCTGGTCCGAGAACGGTAAATGTCTCAATTATTAATGTTATGATTTCATATAATAAATAAATATAAAAATACTGTTCCTCGTCAATAAATAGTTCGAAATCTATTTTTACTTTATGTGGACGAGATTTGTTCATCGGTGAGACAGCGTCAAGAATAACTGGTATCAATTCAATAATTATAATAAAAAATACAACAAATATGGTGACAACTAGACATTAAAAATAATAAAATAACATACAACCTTCATAATTATCGTGAGCAAACAGTAAAAGTTTCAAACAGACAGATACATATTAAAAATGTTATTGTGTTATTTAATATCTATTTCATAATTTACTTACAACTTGTAATTAATGACAGAAGATGATTTTCATTTTCATATTTCTCTAATATTCTAATTTCACTATTATCTTTAATTGAATTCCAGTTCAATTTTATTTGTTTTAACAAATATTTCACCTATCATTTAAACAATTAATGTTTCTGAAATTCTTCTTACTTATATAATTAAAATTCTCGGGATAAAAAAGCTCTTCCATAAAAATAAAATTACGAATACTTACTTCTTTAGAATTAAAATAATAAGAATTATACATTGTAATACATATTACGGTAATGAAAATATATGACAGTTCTTTAAAAATAAATTCGAAGTTACACGTTGTTGTTAAAAAAGTTGTAATCTGAAACACATAAGTATGGTAACAATATATCGACACTACATTATGTAGAGGAGTAGGTGGTATATTATAGTACCCTGTTTCCATTTTCTACAATAATTTGATTAATAATCAATATTTAAATTTAAAACTTAACATTTATATTTATATTAAAAAGTTATTCAATTCATTCTAGATTTAAAATTATAAAAATTCATTACTTAATATATTACACTATAGAACCGTATATTTGATAACAAATTATAGAAATCAATGCCTACGGTCTAGCTAGATCTTAAATGCTTGTATAATTCTGTGTGTATTTATATACTACATATGTAGTCCTTTGAAACGCCGAAATAATTTTTAGATCTTGATCGATGATTGAAAACAGAGGTTTACATATTATTTACAGATAATACGATCTTCTACAAAAATAGATTTAAAAAATAAGTTTTTTTTTAAAACAGTATTTGGTTACAAAGTTAATAAAAAAGTAAAATATTGCATGAATGTATGTATTAAAATTATACAAATGTATTCACATAACTTCTTCCACATATAGCTGCTTAGTACTAAAAAACTGTGTATATGTAATATAAACATATATACTATACTGTATATATGTAATATAGACTAATAATAGAACTACAATCAAGTGATAGAAAAATTATTTTGATATAAAAACATCAAAAAAGTCGATAATCAGTACGCTTAGGGGGCAACATTGTCAAACTACCATACTACCGTTTAAATTTACATAGGTTAAAATGTAATCAGTTAAATAAAATGTTAAATAACGTTATTAAAATATTAAAGAATAACACTTAAATATATATTCGTGTGATGTTTTCAAGTTTAAAATGAATAAGGAAGTATGTGTAATTAAGTGTTAAAGTGTATATTAAAAACATTGTAATATACTTGAAAATAAAAATGCGTTTTAATAACTGCTGACTACTATGTATTAGCGTCATTATATAAAAGCTATTAGATAAATAAATTCAATAAGAAATCATTCGATACTTAATACTGAAGATATTAAGAAGGAGGAAATATATTTGTAATGGTCATAATACCACCATCTCCTTAAATAATTATCCAAAGAAGTGTTAAGTATATGAGAAAAGAATTATGAAATACCTGGAATAAAAAAATGAAACAATATAAGCCAAGGAAGAACATAGATTGCACTTGCATAATAATCGGCGTTTGATAAGGCCATTGCTGTTAGCATAATCCGATAAATGTTGTAATAACGTTCGCCAGAAAAGACCATTTTATTTAGTCTACGGAAAACGTGTGAATGGGATATCGCAGAATTACTGAATAACAGCATACTGAATATTTTTCTGTTTTTCACAAACTATCTCTTGTAAAAGAAACATATGTGGTTATGTAATTTAATAATTTTCTATAATTATGCAGTGAGAACAAAAAGTGCTACAATTTCGTCGACCATTTAAAATAATGACATGCTACATTGAAAACGATTATTTTTGCGGCAATTGTCAATGTTATAAGAAAATATACCTCTCATTACGTTCTTATAGTTTGGATCGGGAGACAGATCGAGATACTTGGCGTAAGAGCATAATTCATAATACGACGCACCTCACGAACCCCCAATATACAAACTAATTTTATATTGAATCAATTGAATATACCTTATACTGCTAAGATATTAGATACTTAGATCTTCGAAAGCAATCTTCTCTTTTGAATGTTGTATTACACGCATTATACAAATATATTTTATTGGCCTTTTTATAAAGTCAGTAATGTTTACTAGGATCGAATTGCAGGAGATACTTTCAGAAAAATCTACATTGTTATGTCAGAATTTCTTATAGATATTTTTTTATACCACTTAAAGTAATGCAATCAATAGGATTCAGACGTTCGGGCATGATTATAAGGCAAGTAGAGGTATGGTTCCATTGTGCGCAAAAGTGAATTAAGTGATTGTTGAAGTGCAGTAACAACATTTTAGCAGCCTACTCAATATATAAACATAAAACACGTAACGATTCTCTCAACGTGATTGTGCTCAAATATTCCTATTGATTGAATCATTTGAAATGATATAAAAGGACGTAAGAAATAATTTCGAATTTTTTAAATATGTACTCAATATTATCATGTAATTATTATAATGTGTTAAATCCTTATAAAGTTCTTAGGTATAATTCATTTTAGAATTGCATTTCAGTAATTTCTACTTTATAATATCGATATTTTTAAATGACTTAGAAATGTAAAGTTGTACAGAAAAAAATTTATATGTGTAAGTAAAATATTTATTATCTAAAAAATTAGGGATTAGCGTTTTATAAAATAATGTTATTCTTGAAACGAAATTGTTAAAAGGTATAACGAGACAACACTTGACCTATAAACAATTACGGAATTAAAACGAACATACATAAACTATAATATTATATATAATTACATACCTTGCAATTTTTTCCAATTTGAAAATGTATTGAATTATATATCTCTTTTTTACATAGGTATAAGAAGAGACGTAACCATTTTTTTCAGTTAATCGTATGTTAGCCGCATGTTGAAAATCCTCGTGAAAACGTTGGTGTAATGAGATACATTTTAATAAATTTTATTGTTCCTTCAGGTTCTCTTAAATAAATTACATCATTATTTATTGATGGGAGGACGAAAACGTCAAATACATGACAAAAATAAACTTTGGTGTTGTCTCGTATATTACTTTGTATTACACAACCTAGAACAGTAACACTCTGAATGAATAGAAATAAAATAATATGTCCCAAATTAAAGAAAAAATTAATTCTAGATATTCTCCCGTTGCATATTTGCACTTTTTCAGCGCTCGCTGTATAATAAACCTGCGCAGTATGAATCATAATTTATTTTGCTACAATTGATAATATATGATTTCCATATGTATATATTATATGTCAAGTGCTAAAAATTTAAATTCTATATAATAATATGAAGTTTATGATTTATTTTAGCAAATAATTACGTACCTAGAAATCCTATTTTGCTGTTATTAATACGTGCAAGTATCACTACCTTCAAAGTTCTACAACCAATTAAAACTTTTATTGCATTATTTTATCGTCGTGGTATATATTACAGTAAAGTATGACATTGCTGTAGTTATAAGCTAAAAAAATATTTTAATTTTTTAAAACAATCGTTAAGATTTGATTTGTTGGAATAGTTTTATTAATTTTTCGAATATGAGTTAAATATAAGAAAAATAGATAAGATTTTTTTCTAGACAATTAGTTCATGATAAAATATTTATATTACCGTAGAATATCCTTCTAAAGATAATACATAAATGTAACCAATTATTAGGATATGACTTTTCAGAGAATTTTGCATCACAAATAAAAGCAATTTTTGTATTGATAATGGAGCTAAATACCACAATGTATTATACCTATAAATTTATAAAAATATTATATTTAGCATTATTTATAATACTTTTACTTTTGCTTAGGCGTAATTAAATTAACGTAGCTTCTATTTTTACTCGTTTTAGAAGTATAACAAAATTTACAAGTATTGTATATGTAAAATATGCACTTAATCCGCGACATTATAATGTGTCCTGATGTTTATGTATGAATATTCATGAAGCGCTATGTATCTAAAGATGTTATTAGAATTAAAAATCACAATCATAATCATATATGACGACATATATAATTCTACAATTTTATTTATTGCTGAAATATTTTGTTAATTTCTACTTGTCAACAATAATATCAACAATAATATTCAACATAGAATCCAGCAGTGTTTAAGTGCTGAGATATTTAATTACAAAGGCGTAGAATTCATGTTCTGTTAAAATGCTACATACAAATGCGCGTGTGCTCTGCACGGAACATCATTCTTATCTAATATATATATATATATATATATGTATGAGCGACGCACAAGTCCAGGAGACCGCAACGTAAGAACGGATCATGTAAAAGAACCGTTCAAATGATGTTATATATACAGGGTGTTTGGAAATTAGTGATAAGTCTTTCGCACAGGGGCAGAATGGACTAAACTGAGAAGAAAAGTCCTTTACCATTTTACAATTATCGCAATGATTAACGAGTTATTAACTTATAAAAATAGCTAAATTCGCTCAGGCTATCACCAAATATAAGGATAGTATCCACTTCGCGCGGCGAGTCGTACGTTCGCCGTCACTACGCACATTGTTTATAAGCGGCAATTGCTGTCGCTAGACGTGCCACATCTCAGCAACTAGTCATAAAAGTATATTACCCGACCAATGAAATTTTTGATCAGAGATGTAAAAATTACAACAAATATTACAAATTCAAAACAAACTGACTAAAAACATTATTTTATATAAATCGTGCAAGGGGCTTTAAATATGAACATTATCAAATACCAAAATCCTCTTTGACCGAAAACATGTTTAATTTTTTCATTTTGTGAAATAATTAGTTGTAAATATCATTCTAGATTAACAGTGTCTCTTTAAACTTTATCAATCTAATATATATAATAAATTATTGAACACATTCAACGTCAACAAACAAAAGCGAATTCCTTGGAGTTAGGCTAATTCTGTACATTCTTCTAACTCAATATAACGGACCCATTATTATAATTATCAAGTAGAGATTTAATTTTTTCCTATAATTTAATTTCTAAATGTATCATTATTTTTGATGGACATAATAGTTAAACAATTATTGAAAAATGTCACGATATGTGGACATTGAACTATTCGTCAAATAAATGGATTAATCAACATTAAAAAAATAGATTATTAAAATTTATAATTATATTTGGAAGATAAAATAGATTAGAAATTATCATAATAAAAATATCACACGTGTAAACAATGACTTCGTATAAATAAATTGATTTTGTTCATAGGAAATTTTAATGTATATATGATACTTACGCGGCATTAAATACTTCTGCACTATGATCGGAAATTGTTTGTCCAACAAAATTAAATATAAATAAGGCTATAAAATGAGCTGTTACCATACCGATACACATTATTATTTCGGAAAATTCCTTTGACAGAGTTAATGCATTAAGTAGCTATAAAAATATATTGTATAACTATTCAAGTATATATTTTAATTTATATATAATATACAAATTCTACTATCAAATTAACTATAACAATTAAATTTAAAAATTAATTATAAGAAACGTAAAAAAATGTAATACGTACAAAAGTGCATTACTTACTCGAAAAAGATTGCAACTTAAAGACATTACGCTGATTATCACTAAAGGGAAATACCATTTGTTCATAATATTCATAAAAAATGTAGAAAACCTTCAATAACGAAGAAAAATTTAATTCATATCTTTGAGTTAATTAGATTTAAAAATGTAATTTTTTAAATTAAAATTAATGTGCATCATGTACAGTAAATGATAATGTTAAAAGAATAAATGAAGTAAAGACTAACTGAATAGATTTTCTATGAATATGAACAGCACGATTAATTCTCTGCCACATCACATGTGTTGTTTCCTGACAAACAGGAATTTGAAGCGTATGTTGAGTCACTGTTTTTTCGATTAGGTTACTGCAAACAATTTTTATATAATCAACAAACAATTAAAGATATATAATTTTCTTCATTAAAATTTAAATGCAAATACCTAGCGATTTTTAAAGTGGAGCAACAATGTCTGATGAACGTGAACGATAATGTTCCCGTTGCAAGGACGGTAAATATTCCAATTATTATTGTTATGATTTCATATATTAAATAAATATAAAAATACTGTTCCTCGTCGATAAAAAATTCAAAATCTATTTTTACTTTACGTGGTCGAGATTTATTCATCGGTGTGACAGCGTCAAGAATGACTGGCATCAATTCAATAATTATAATAAAAAATATAGCAAATGCGACGACAACTGGACATTCAAAATAAGATAATATACAATCTTGTTAATTATCATAAATAAACAATAAAAATTTCAAACAGACAGGTATATATTACAAATATTATTTTTTTTTTATCTATTTCATAATTTACTTACAACCTAAAATTAGTGACAGTAGACGATTTTCATTAGCATATTTCTCTAATATTCTAATTTCACTATTATCTTCGATTGAATTCCAGTCCAATTTTATTTGATTTAATAAATATTTCATCTATCATTTAAATAATTAATGCTTTCTTTTATTTATGTAAATGAAAAGTTTTGAGGTAAAAAGGCTCCTCCATAAAAATAAGACTATAAATAGTACTTACTCCTTTAGAATTAAAATAATAAGAGCTATAAGCTATAATATATAATATGGTAATGAAAATATATGATAGTTCTTTAAAAATAAATTCCAAGTTGCACGTTGTTGTTAAAAAAGTCGTAAACTACAACACATAAGTATAGATAACAATATATCGAATTTATGTAGAGAAGAAGGTGTATGCATTAGCATATTAGAATCATAATGTAAGAACGAGCAAATAATTTCATAAGTAATCATAAGAATTCACCACTTAATAGCGGAGATACCTATTAAGCGGAGCAATATATATACAATGGTCATAATACCACCTTCTCCTCAAAGAATCATTCAAGAAATTAAGTGTGAGAAGAAAAGGATTGCAAAATACCTGAAATAAAAGAATAAAATAATATGCGCCAAGAAAGAACGCAGATTGTACTTGCATAAATGGTGTTTGATAAGGCCACAAACCAAGCGCTGTTAACATAATCCGATAAATGTTGTAATAACGTTCGCCAGAAAAGACCATTTTATTTAGTCTACGGAAAACGTGTGAATGGGATATCGCAGAATTACTGAATAACAGCATACTGAATATTTTTCTGTTTTTCGCAAACTATCTCTTGTAAAAGAAACATATGTGGTTATGTAATTTAATAATTTTCTATAATTATGCAGTAAGGACAAAAAGTGCTACAATTTCGTCGACCATTTAAAATAATGACATGCTACATTGAAAACGATTATTTTTGCGGCAATTGTCAATGTTATAAGAAAATATACCTCTCATTACGTTCTTATAGTTTGGATCGGGAGACAGATCGAGATACTTGGCGTAAGAGCATAATTCATAATACGACGCACCTCACGAACCCCCAATATACAAACAAATTTTATATTAAATCAATTGAATATATCTTATAGTGCTAAGATATTAGATATTTAGATCTTTGAAAGCAATCTTCTCTTTTGAATGTTGTATTACACGCATTATACAAATATATTTTATTGACCTTTTTATAAAGTCAGTAATGTTTACTAGGATCAAATTGCAGGAGATACTTTCAGAAAAATCTACATTGTTATGTCAGAATTTCTTATAGATATTTTTTTATACCACTTAAAGTAATGCAATCAATAGGATTCAGACGTTCGGGCATGATTATAAGGCAAGTAGAGTTCCATTGTGCGCAAAAGTGAATTAAGTGATTGTTGAAGTGCAGTAACAACATTTTAGCAGCCTACTCAATATATAAACATAAAACACGTAACGATTCTCTCAACGTGATTGTGCTCAAATATTCCTATTGATTGAATCATTTGAAATGATATAAAAGGACGTAAGAAATAATTTCGAATTTTTTAAATATGTACTCAATATTATCATGTAATTATTATAATGTGTTAAATCCTTATAAAGTTCTTAGGTATAATTCATTTTAGAATTGCATTTCAGTAATTTCTACTTTATAATATCGATATTTTTAAATGACTTAGAAATGTAAAGTTGTACAGAAAAAAATTTATATGTGTAAGTAAAATATTTATTATCTAAAAAATTAGGGATTAGCGTTTTATAAAATAATGTTATTCTTGAAACGAAATTGTTAAAAGGTATAACGAGACAACACTTGACCTATAAACAATTACGGAATTAAAACGAACATACATAAACTATAATATTATATATAATTACATACCTTGCAATTTTTTCCAATTTGAAAATGTATTGAATTATATATCTCTTTTTTACATAGGTATAAGAAGAGACGTAACCATTTTTTTCAGTTAATCGTATGTTAGCCGCATGTTGAAAATCCTCGTGAAAACGTT